TACGAAATTTAATCTTTTTAAAATTTTTAATTCCATATAAATTGAATTAAAAATTTTAAAAAGATTAAATTTCGTAAATTTAAATTCAAAAGAACTGTAATCTTAATTTTGCAAAATTTGCAAAGTTTTTGTTGAATTGAATGTTTTTTTGTAAATGTAAATCCATGGCCAGTAAATCCAAGTGCAATCATAACTACAAAAATATTTTTTCTGTAATTCGAATCTCTTTTATCAACAAGCCGCACTTACATACATCGATAGTGTACGAACGAAAGTGATATTCTAGTCATGTTTCGGAGAGTGATATAATCAGTTACTATAACCCAGCCCATACATAAATTAACAATAATTATTATTATAAATCGTAAATTATCCGAAAATACTTTTTTCACACAACAACATTGAGCTGTCCTACGGATTATTTTTGCATTAATCTTTACTGAATTTCTTCAAATTCTTCAACATTTTACAGAATTCTAGATTCAATGCTACGAAACGCGTTTTCTTTGAATGAAAACGTAGTGAAATGAGTTTTCTAACAGAAGATAACTGTAGAATACACTCTGATGTTCAATACTAGCCTAACTTCGAAACAGTCTTAGAAAACGACGTAATTCGTTGAAGTTTTAGAAGAACTTAATTATGACCTTGGCTAAGGAAGATCTGCACCGCCATCCTGAGAATCAAAAACAACGCAATCAGCAATTTTTTTGTAAAACCATTTCGCATAATTTCCAAAATCATATCAGAGTTGACTTTTCTTAACTCACATGCTTTTTGAAGATGAATTGGTGCGAGATGCTCTAACAAAAGAGATCAGTTTTGCATCATTCGAAGCGTAACCGATGCAAATGCATTTTAAAAGGACCTGTTTCGCGTTTTCTCCGAGCTGTGACTCTGTACAATGCTTTTCTTGTCGACTTGATGAGTTTAGTAGCGTTTCATTTGGGAAACGCTTCGAAACGTAATCGCAAAAAGAAGCGTTTCGTATCGTTTCAAAACCTCAAGGCAGCAAAACGCGTTCTATATAAGTAAAAATACTGTGAAACGCATTCCGTCTCGAAGAAACGCTGCGAAACGCATGTCCCAACCTTGAAGACGCGTTACGCAGTGCGTTTCCTTAAAAATTTTACGCCATG